GATGTAAATTGAGGGACGGAGTCCTTTGCTTCTTTAATGTCATGATGAAAAAGAGAAAGCCCCTCATGATGCCCTTTGACAAGAGCCCCAGCCCCTAAATGATTTTCATGAAAACGGGAGTCCAACTCACCACGGGATGTCATTTGAGGGGACGGAGTCCATCCCCTCATAAAGCCACTGATGACAAGGGCCCCAGCCCCCTCACTGATGTCATTGAGGGAAGAGTCCATCGCCTCACAAATGTCACTGATGCCCAAGAGTCCAGCGCCTCATTGTTATTTTTTTGGGGAAAAGAGTCCGCGCCTCATAAAGTCACTGATGACAGAGCCCAACCCCTCATGATGTCACTAAAAAACAGAGTCCATTGCTTCTTTAAATTCACTGAATGGAGAGTCGAGGCCTCACTGATGTCACTGATGATGGAGCCCATCGCCTCTTTAATTTTTCACTGATGACAAGATCCAGCGCCCACTGAGGGCATGATGACGGGAGTCCTTTCGTTTAAATTAATCCCATGATGACAAGAGTCCAGCGCCTCACTGTTCTCATTGAGGACGGGAGTCCATCGCATCAAAAAATGTCACTGATGACAAGATTTTCAGCTCCTCACTGATGTCACTTTTGACAGAGTCCCAGTCCCTCACTGATGTCTTTGTTAAGGGAAAAGCCCCCAACCCCTAAATGATGTCCTGATAAGGGGGTCCATCGCTTCATTAATATCACTGATGAAAAGGTCCAGCGCCTCACGGGATGTCATGAGGGAGGGGAGCCCAATCGCTTCTTTAAAGGGTCAGGGATGACAAGAGCCCGGGGCCCCTCATGATGTAAATGATAAACTGAGTCATCGTTCTTTTAATGTCTCTGATGAAAAGGGTTTTCCACCCGCCTCACTGATGTCACTGATAAAGGGAGTCCTTTCCCTTCTTAATGTCAATGATGACAAGAGTCCAGCGCCCCTGATTCATTGTTTTGACGGGCCCATGCCCATTAATGTCACTGTGAAAAGGTTCAGCGCCTCACTGATGTCACTTTTGCAAGAGTCCTTTTCCCTTTCACTGATTTCATTGATAACGGGCCCAAGGGCCTCATGATGCCCAATGAAAACCCGGAGTCCGTCGCTTCTTTAAATTTCCCCTGATGACAAGATTTCCAGCGCCCCCCACTGATGTCACTGATGACGGAGCCCAAACCCCTCTTTAATATCCCCCTGTGACAAGAGTCCAGCGCCTAACTGATTTTCATGATGACGGGTCCATCCCCCTCATTAATTAAAGAGGGAAAAAGAGTCCGCCCCTCATGATGCCCTTGTTTGAGGGAAAAGCCCATCGTTTCTTTAAATGTCACTGATGCAAGAATTTCCACCCCCCCCTCCTGTTTCACGGATGACTGGGGTCCATCGTTCATTAATGTCACTGTGACAAGGCCCAGCGCCTCACTGATGCCCTGAGGGACAGAGTCCTTCCCTTCATTTAATGTCAATGTTTGAAAAAGAGCCCAGCGCCTCATGTTTCCCCCTTGATGAGGGGAGTCCATCGCCTCTTTAAAATGTCATGATGACAAAGAGTTCGGGGGCCCCCTGATTTTCACTCTTGCAAGAGCCCGTGCCTCCTGTTGTCATTGATAACGGAGTAAAACGCCTCATGATGTCATTTGTAACGGATCCATCGCTTCATTAATATCAATGAGGGACAAGAGTTCCAGGCCTCACTGATGTCACTGATGACGGGGCCCATACCTCTTTTAATACCCACTGAGGACAAGAGCCCAGGCCTCAGGATGTCACTGATGCCCGGAGCCCATCCCTTTTCATTAAGGGTCACGGGTGAAAGGCCACCCGCCTCACTGTTTGTCACTGATGACGGAGTCATGGGCTTCATTAATGTCACTGAGAAAAGAGCCCAGCCCCTCATGATGTCACGGATGATAGGGGACTTTCGCCTCAAAAATTTCATGATGCCAAGAGCCCAGCGCCCCCACTGATGTCATGATGATGGAGCCAGGGGCCCCCCCTTGATGTCACTGATGAAAAGTTTTACCCGCCCCCTTTTGTCACTGATGACAAGAGTCCGCGCCTCATAAATGTCACTGATGATGGGCCCATCCCCCTCATTAATGTCACTGATGAAAAGAGCCCTTCCCCTATTTGATTTTCAAGTTGACGGGGGCCCTCGCTTCTTTAAATTTGTCATGAGGGACAAAGGGGTACACCCACCTCATGATGTCACTCTTGAAAGAGCCCAGCCCCCTCCTAAAGTCACTGAAACGGGAGTCCAAGCACCACTGATTGTCATGATGACGGAGTCCATCGTCATTAAGCCCTAAATTGACAAGATTTCCAGCCCCCCTCACTGATGTATTGATAAACAGAGTCATCGCCTCATTAATTTTCCCACTGGGGACAAGAGTCCAGCCCTCATGTTGCACTTTTGACAGAGTGGGGGGGGGTTTACTGATGTCATGATGACAGAGCCCAAACGCCTCACTGATGTCATGAAAACAAGGTTTTGGTTCAAAAAATTGTAAATGAGGGAAAAGATTTCAAAAGCGCCTCCCCTGATGTCACTGTTGATGGAGCCCTTTCGCCTCTTAATGTCCTGATGACAAGATTTCCACCCCTTCCTGATCTCATTGATGACGGAGCCATTCCCCTCATTAAAGTCATGGGGAAAAGAGTTCAGCCCCTCACTGATGTCACTCTTGACAAAAAGTCCGTGCCTCACTGATGTCATTGATAACGGAGCCCAACCCCTCATGTGTCATGTAACGGGTACATCGCCATTAATACCCGATGACAAGAGCCCCGTCCCCTCACTGTTTGCCACTGATGACGGAGCCCAAAACCCTTTTTAAATGTCACTGATGACAAGAGTCCAGCGCCCCCCACTGATGTCATGAGGGCCCGGTCCATCCCTTCATTAATGTCAATGATGACAAGAGTCCAGCGCCTCATGATCTCATTGATGACGGAGCCCTCGCCTAAATTAAGGGCCTTGATGACAAGGGGTTCAGCGCCTAATGATGTCACTCTTGACAAGAGTCCGGGGCCTAAATGATGTCATTGATAACGGAGTCCAACGCCTCACTGATGTCACTGATAACAGGTCCATATTTTCATTAATTCACTGAGGACAAGGGGTCCAGCCCCCTCATGAGGGTCATGGATGGGGTCCATCCCCCTATTAATCCTGTTTGAAAAGAGTCCACGCCTCATGATGTCACTGATGACGGAGCCCCATCGCCTCATTAATGTCACTGATGAAAAGAGTCCAGCCCCTCACTGAGTCATGTGTGAAGCCCATCGCTTAAATTTAATGTCAGGGTGACAAGGGGCCAGCCCCCTCACTGTTTGTCACTGAGGGATGAGTCTATCGCCTCTTTAATGCCCAGGGATGAAAAGGAGTCCAGCGCCTCACTGATGTAAATTGATGA